CCACAAATCAGGGCCACGGTAATGTTTCTCCTGTGCTCACGTAGATTTGTTTCTCATAGCCTTGTTAACATTTCAAGGTTTTTCTTGCTGGAAGTTGAGCACAGGGAGAAGAGTTTTTTTTTGTGTTAATAAATGGCTGGAGGTAGCCCCAGTCCCCTTAAAAGCCCTGGTCTGCACCTGTAAAGTGATTCTTTTTCCATGTGTTTGTGATGTACTTTTGTATTTTTCATACTTTTTGCATGTTTTTTTTTTTTTACTTAAAGATCTGTGCTTGATATCAATGTTGTTGATTAGATGTTAGTGACACAGAGAGAAGAAGTGATGTAGGTAACAATGTGTAGCCCACCTGCCTTTCATCTTACAATATGAATTAAGTGCTATTTAGCTTATCTGTCTAGATGCATTGATTCAAATAATGAGTACCTTACATTTTTCTAAAGAAATCCTGGTCTCACACTTAATTATATCCTAGTTGCCAAGTGCCTGGGAAATGAGTAATTGACAGATGGCTGCAGGACATGAGCAGCTTTTGACAGATGGCTGCAGGATATGAGTAATTAAAGATGGCTACAGGACATGAGTAATTGACAGATAGCTGCAGGACATGAGCAGTTGACAGCAGACAGATAGCTGCAGGACGTTAGTAATTGACAGATAGCTGTGGGTGGGACAGATAGCTCTAGGACATGAGTAATTGACAGATAGCTGGGGCCTGCAGGCTAGCTAACCTTAAGAGTTTACTTATATATTTATTCAGTTCTTATTTGTCTTCCTCAATCCTGAACAAGTTAGCATCAACACAAAATATACTTTTCCATCACTGTGGCCGTAAAAACAGCAATTACACAATGCTCATTTAGATGGATTTCTTATTGCTATAATTTCATTTCAACAAGTCAACCTGATGGACTAAGGCTGATGACAGGCTCCTGCTTTACAAATTGTGATTCTTTTTATTGCATCTTTTTCCTGTATCCATCATAATGATTCCACAAATAATTCATTTATGCAACTCAATGCTCTGGGTAGCCTCAAGCAGCTACCTAACCCAATATTATTGTTTGAAAGCTGACCTAGGTATGCAGTCTTAGACTACTATCGTGGATCATATGTCATACTGTCATATCATTGGTAAAGAGTAGTCTGTGCCTGTGGTGTGGGAGATACATCTGAGCCTAGCAAATATATTCTAAATTAGTGTTATAATTTCCCAGTACCTACTTATTGCTAGCACAGGTAACCATGAGTTGAATTAGCAAACATTGTGCAAATCTGGCATGCAGTTTGCATTGTACAGTGCACACACTACAATCCACTGAAGACTACATATAATAGAAAGTTTGAAAGTACACAAAATACTACCTTTACAGCAGCTAAGGCCAAGATATCAGTTGGATTGCTATAGTCTGTTCCATATCAAGCTTGCAGTTGGAGTTTCTTCGGCAGATCGCTCCTCCGCTCAAGAATTTGCGTCTTAAAATGTAACAGCTGTATACACAGAAATCACACACTGTTTTCAGCAGGGCACTTTGGCTGCAAACTTGAAACGGAACAGAGTATAGTGCCATCAATATTGATTGAAACATTACATGCATGTAATTGTATGCTAGATTTCCAACACAAAAAGTTATTGATATCTCGTGACTACTGGGCTACTGGTAATACAAATAGGAATCTTTTTGTTCCCTTCTATCTTTGTTTTTATAGTTTATTTTTGTACACCTATATCCTTACATTATTTTTATCCACCACCATGCAGACCTTCAGTCATGTTGATGAAACTTTTGTTTAAACTATCTGACTTTCTGTACCAATTTACCTTATCTGTATAGGGTGCGCAGTGGTAGATAAAGCCCGAGTGGGTAACGAAATACGATACCGTCGTATCTAGCGAGGGCGCACGCCGGCGGCTTACGCTATATGTTTGGACATATGTGGCAAACAAGAGGACTGACGATCACTGAAACTTGTGTCAGTTTTCAGCTCCCAATTGATTGCAGTGTTGTGCTTTGCAGCCTTTGATAGCTACCATGGACTGCAACAGGGAAGAACTACTGGCCAATTTTCAGGTAAGTTCTACCGACAGCAATTCGGATCCACCATGCTATATTTGACTTGTAGTGCATCTAGTGAGCATGGGGCCCCTTTTGATGCTCGTGAACATTGAACAATATGACGAGTGAAATCAAAGAAATTAAATTTCAGTTAAACTCTGCTCATTGCAGTTCCTACATTTGATACACATATTTGCCTGTCAGGATTCGAATCAATATGGGATGTCTTTAGGAACATAACTCATCAGCTGCTACACCAATCAGTCGAGCTGCTGGGTGGAGTGCCAATTTTCCGAGGCATGGTTTCGTAATTATTTTCATCACAGCGCTATGGGAATCGCCAATGATGAGCTCCGGAAATATTTAAAATCGACTAATAATGATTTCCGGAAATATTTAAAATTGACTATTTCTATATGTTCATGTCAAAGATAATCTGACGATTAACATGTTCCATTCTTTGTCTTCCGAGGAGTAAGTAGATATCGAGATAGTTTGTGAAAAGAAAGTTTGTCCTCGTTTCTCAGACTCTCCCATCAGTCCCTTTCGAAATGAGTTAATTTGCTAGACTGTTACACAACCGGTGGGCCTCTTGGCCCCCTGCCGTGAGTTCAGAGGTTACACTCGCTGCTGGCGTGCCTCTCTCCGGTACTTTATCGTAGCCGTTTCCGCGTCCCCTCGCGATAGTGCGGGAAACTAGGTACTTAGCGGGGGCGATGCAAGATTCATGGTAGGAAATGGGGGTCGAGTTGGGGGATGGGTGTCCTCGGATGGCAACCGGTCATTGTGCGAAACTATGCGATAAAATGCGCTGCGAAGCGCGGGTGACTCGTGATGTAAAGCGACGGGGGTGTTGGGCGCTATAAAATTGAAATGGAACGGACTGTAGATCAGTGATCACACACATCTTTCATGCAGAATATAGCAAACTGAAGGCTAAACAGTGCGACCTCAGCCTTATCATCAGCAAGTAGCTACTGACACGGTTACATCGCAAAATAAGACAATGTGTCAAAATGTCTGTAGGTATTCCTTCAGCCGCAAATCACTTTAACACAATGTGACAGTATCAATAGCTGCCTGCATCACTATTACACCTGCGTGTCAAATGGTGACATTTAATTTGTGACTTCACAGGCCTGTACTGGTATCGATGACGTGGGCGAGGCGCTCGCCCACTTGGAGCAGACCGGCTGGAACCTGGTGGTAAGTGGCGTCACACTGAGTAGGGATACAGCCAGGGTGGCGTCGGGCATGGGCACTCTGAGAGCCAACCTCACCTGACTGGCTGCAGATTATAGGAGGACTGATTTAGTGGCCGGTTTACGTGCCAGCCTCACTCGGTCGTACTCCTCGGGATGGCTTTACAGAGAGCTGAATAAAACTATCTCAAGAGACGCATGACAGTTTAGTCTAGAAATTACTCATGGCGGAGAGATTATTGATTTGGTAGAATTAATTTTCCACTCATTAGCATGTTGAATTGATGGGGCTTCCTATTATTGCCATGCAGCTTCATATTATTGCCGCTACTGACTTCAAAAGGTTAGAATGGGTGGTGCTTGTAAATATTCTGTCCATGTTTGACTGTCTTGCTCACCATCGTCATTATTTTTCCCTCTCCTCTCGCTGATGCCTACCATGAACTTTCTCCCTCTTTTCCTCTCTCTTCGCAGGAGGCTGTGAACCGAGTGATACCGCAGGACTCGCAGGTGGTGCCACCTGTCGGCGACGGCGTGCAGATTCAGGAGCTGAACCAGCCGCCAGATGTCAGTGTGGGCGTCTCGGTGGCGTTCGGGGACGACCCTAGCGACCCGCTGGCCGAGCAGCCGGTGACCCCGCTGAGAATTATGTACTATGGCCGTATGCTGGAGATCACACTGCCCTCCTCGGAGACCGTCTGTGAGTGGACGCAGGGGCGCGGCTCGGGACTAGTCGAAATGAATGGCGTGCCCTGTTTGCACGATTCCGAACGGCGCATTCCGAACGAAAACAAAGTTAGTTAAGTTACAAAGTTAGTTAAAACAATTATATGCAACCATTTTGTTTTAATCATTACGCCTTTTAGTTATCAGGGTAGCTTAAATGCCATGTGTATTGACACCTACTAGTCCCTACATGTGTATTGACACCTACTAGTCCCTACAGTACCGAGTGTGTAGAGCTATCTACTTGACCCTGTGTCCGCTATGTAGACCCTCTCCTCCACGTGATACCCCTCTCGTCATCTGACCGCTGTGCTCCCTGCCCGGCAGCCACGCTGAAGATCGTGCTGCAGGCGCAGACGGACATGCCGCCGTGCCAGCAGGACCTGCGGCTGGATGGCCAGCCGCTGAGTGACGGCACGGTGCAGCTGGCCGCTCTGCCGGCCGGCCAGGTCCTCACACTGCAGCAGGGGACCATCGGGGGCGGCACTGAGAGCGACGCGGCCGGCCGACCCGGCCCGTCCACATCAGGACTGAGGTGAGTCCCGCAGCACTGGCACAGAGAGATACGGCCGGCCGACCTGGCCCGTCTACATCAGGACTGAGGTGAGTCATCTACTGATACAGATAGGGAAAGACAGACACAGAGACACTGACTAAGTGGTAGACAGGCGCAGAAAGACAGAGACACGGCCGGATGGCCGGCCCGTCCACGTCTGGATCGCCCACTGATACGGACTGACACAGAGACGGACACACGGACAGAGACATGACCGCCGCTGGACCACGTTCCACGTCGGAAGTAACGTAGGTCTTGTGCTGATACTACTGACAGAGATAAACATATGAGCCAACGGATAGAGAGGTAGCCAACAACCCGCTCTTTTCTCTCGTAAAAACGGCCTAGTCACTGGTCAGGCCCTCATTGTGTCTGCATTCGGTCATGTGTTATCGCATGCTGGAGTTATGCAATGCTCATGTGTACTTATTAGCCTTTTCTTCTGTGTTCCTAGACGCAGGATTAGTTTTATTTTGGTCTTGTATATGTATTAAAAAAGCAAGCATCACAATTATTAACAGGACATTTCTGGTGCAACGATTGACAAGGTACCAAGAAATCAACAGGGTGACTCAACGACGCTATGATATGGATTATACATATTATGATGAATCATCGATTAATCGACCACAGTACATGGGACCAGTCACTTCTGCCATCTACCGCCCAGCTCTGTTACGTGTAGTACCGACCGCCGCCGCCGTAGCCAGCAGCATCTGTCGTGTATTCCGTGCCGCCGGGTGTGGTATCCCCTTCCGAGACGTGGTACGGACGGTGTGTACAGATGCCCAGGTCTGAGTCACAGTGGCCCGACAGACAGGCTGAGTCGCCGCTGCATTCGATACCGTCCGGCTGCTTCAACCAGCAGACGTTCCCCTTGGTGAGCTTGCACACCTGGCGAAGAGAGGTGATGTGAGTCGGTTAGCAGATCAAGATGGGATGGGATACGATGATGACAGAACTGGACGGATAATGACGTGGCTTAGGGCCGCCACCAGGTTATGGGTGACGTGATATGAGAAGCTAGCAAGTGTAATTGGGCGAGAGCTCAAATATTCCAGCCACGTCTGCTACAAATGCACATCAACGTTGAGCGAGACGTTTCGCTTCTTGACTTAACTTCTTACAATTCATGTACGGTGGTCAGGGTATCATTATATGGGTCACCACCTCTTATGCCATGACTTGAAACCTCAGACATTCCCCACGCCACCGTTCACATAGCAGTCCCCCTTAGCTCTCCTCCCTTTCTCCCAGTCAAAGAATCAATGTAATTTAAGTGAGACCCCCGGGCCTCTCCCCACCACCACGCCCGCCGTATAGTCACCTGCAGTTCGCGGCAGTAGACGTCGCTACCATACTCCTTCGTACAATCTTCATCCTTCTCACAGTCCAGCTCGCCGCGCCGGCTGAGGCGCCACAGTCGCAGCGTACAGCGCGTCTCGGCGTCCTGGTACAGCTGACGCAGGTGGTACAGGTTGCGCGGACTCTGCGGCCACAACTGCTGGCGGCGGTACCTCTGCACGTGCGGGTTGGACAGAAACGGCTGCGAGAAGTCGAGCGTGCCAGCGACGCTGACGAATAGCTGTGAAGAGACGGCAGGGTCAGGGAGTGCAGGCAGCGGACTGAGAACTGGATTGACAGCAAGCGAGTTGACAGCAGGCGCCCCCGATTGTAGCGACTGCGGCCAGGCGGACGGTGGACAGCGTACGTGTTATGTGTTCTGTTTATATGTGCGGGGCACACCGGCCTTGGATCTGGTGGTGTGGAGAGGAGAGGAGGGTGCCCCGCTCTAAGTCGGCCAGTGGGTGACGAGTGCGTGGCAAATGGAGGGAGGAGGCATGGGGAGGGATGACCCAGTGACCGGAGATGGTAGCTCAGCCTCCTCGACAAACTGAGAAACTCCGCGTCGGATCAATCGGTAACTTTCACGTATTTCATTTTGTATATCAGATGTGAAGCATATAGAGTGAAAACTCGGAGCTTGTTGTTGAAACCATGAATGTCTATAGTAAAACAGAAAAAAACGACAGGGAAACTAATAACAAGTTTTGCTAAGCATGGCTTTACTGGTAAGTCAACAATTAAAATCGACAATCGGAACTGAATTTCTTGGACTATGTTAGCTTTTAACTTGCCCATGGACCTCGGGTTCCATTGTCGACTCCTTTTCTGGCGTTTCCTCCCGTACTAGGCCCTGTGTTTGTTATGAGGTGGAGCGGTAGTGGTGTCACAATGGGCAAGGCTCGGATGGTCTGCGTTGTCGATAGTAATTTGTTGATGAGGGATATCAGCGTAGGGGTATTGTTCTGACGTCTAATTCTGGCGGTGGTTAGGTTACCAACAAAGACGAAGGGCTGTTGCGGCAATCAAAGGTCCTTTGCAGCCCAGTGGATCCGTCGTACGGGTACGAACCTGTAAAAATTGTCCTAGTGTGCGCACTATGCATACATATTTCACGATGAACGGCTTCCGGGCCGATTTAGAGGGATCGCGTGGAGGGATCGCGTGAACTTGGATAGTAGTGAAGCCAGTCACAGAAAATAATGCCGATACCAAGCCAAATACCAACCAACGTAGGAAAATACCGAAACCGAACCAACTTGGAAATATGATAGACATGCCAACTTTTTACCGAATTTACAACCCCTTATACATTAGTCAGGACCCATGATACCAACAAAATACCAAAGACATTAGGATTAAAATACCAAATACCAAGTCGGTATCGGTTTGGTATCGGTATACCAAAAAGCTGGTATGCGATTGACATCTCTAGTGGATAGCGACGCTACTCAATTACATTAGGATTAGCAGGTTTCTCTCGGGACAGTCTAACACGCATCTATTAGTTTATCCCAACAAATTGAAATATGTTTTTGTCCAGCTGTCGTAGAAGGCGAGCTCAGGTAATCTCAGTTTTTCGTTATTCGTCTGACATATCTCTGGGCGTACTCCGTTTCTGGCGGACCCTCGCTGATCCGAGGCCGCCGAGTACGCCCGTCCGTCCATCTGTTCGGAGTGCGGCGTGCCCTCCCGGACCGGCCGCTCAGTGTGTGTGTGTTTACCCGAGAGCTCCTCTGCGCCGCCGCCGCCGCCGCCGCCCCATGCGTCGGTCGGCTGACCAGCAGTCAGTCGTCGGCCGGCCGCGCGTCGCCACGATGCCGCTGCCGCGGTGTCCCACCGGCTCGCTGTGTGTGCTACTGGTGCTGGCGGTGCCGGCCCTGGTGGACCTCCCCCTGGCCACCGCGCAGCGCTGTCGTAGGGAGCCGGAGAGTCCGTACGGCCCGCCGCCGGTCAAGACACCCGGTAGTGGCGGGTATCGAGTCGAGGTGCGCGGAAATCACACCAAGTACGAGCCCGGTAAGAGATATGAGGTGAAACTGGTCAACATCCAGAACAAGTTTGTGCGCAAGTTCAAGGGGTTCTTCCTGACGGTGGAGCCGTCGGTGCCGGTAGAGTACGGCATCATTCAGCAGGTGGGCCATTTCCGACCGTCCAGCTCAGCTGTGGGCTTCTCGGACGAGTGCGGCACCAACACGGTGACTCATACGTCCGACTCGCCCAAGTCGCACGTGTCGCTGATCTGGGTGGCGCCGCCGCCCGGCTCCGGGTGTGTGATGTTCCGCGCCACTGTAATCGAGGGTCGCGGAGTGTGGTTCAGCGACGACGGTCCCCTGAGCTACGAGCTCTGCGAGCACGTGCACGAGAACGAGGACGAGCAGCCGACGCCGCTGGACACGTGCTGCGCCTGCGATGAGGCCAAGTACGAAGTCACCTTCGAGGGCCTGTGGTCGCGCAACACACACCCGCGCGACTTCCCCATCGACCGGACCGCCGCCGCATTCAGCGACATCATCGGAGCCTCACACTCGGCCGGGTTCCGGTTCTGGGAGTACGGCGGCGTGGCCACGGAGGGAGTTCGTCAGGTGGCCGAGTGGGGAGACACCAAGAAGCTGGAGAACGAGCTGAAGGAGCACAGCGGCGACATCCGCACCATCATCAAGGCGCGCGGTCTCGAGTACCCGAACCTGCAGGGTCGTACGTTCGCCGTGTTCCGCGTGGACCGGCGTCACCACCAGGCGTCGCTGATGTCGCGCCTGAAGCCGTCGCCCGACTGGCTGGTCGGTGTGTCTGCCATGGAGCTCTGTCTGCGCAACTGCAGCTGGGCAGAGCGCCAGGTGCTCAACCTGCGACCCTGGGACGCCGGCACCAAGAACGGCGACTCCTACCTGGGCTCCTACCCGCCGACCAACCCCAAACAGAAGATCCAGCGCATCACCAGCAAGTGGCCGGCCAACTCGCCGTTCTACGATCCGACTGGTGGTGAGATACCGCCGCTGGCGCGGCTCGTGCTCAAGCGCCAGCGGGTGTACGAGCGAGACTGCGGCACCGGCCACGCGGGCCCGGCCGCCGCCAGCCTCTCTGACTGCGCCACCACCACTTGGAGCGACTGGTCGGCCTGCTCAGCCACCTGCGGGCAGGGCCGCAGGACGCGCCGCCGCCACTACCGCAACCGGACACACGCCACCATGTTCTACTGCCAGGTAGCGCTGGAGGAGACGAGCGTGTGCTCGGCCAGCATTCCATGCGACACGTACGGAGCGTTCGACTTTGGCGGCGGTGTCGGCGCCGGTGGGGGCACCAGCAGTAGCGCGAACCGGTGGCTCGGCTCCGGATCAGACGGGCTCGACACCGGCTACGGCGTCCCGATGTCCGGTATGGCAGGTCAGGATGTCTGCGCGCTGGACGAGTGGTCCCAGTGGGGCCCGTGCTCGACCACGTGCGGCCCGGGCATCCGCCGACGCACGCGTAACTTCAAGTCACACCTCGGTCGCAAGCGGTGCTCGGAAGAGACCACCGAGATCCAGGACTGCAGTGACCAGAACCCGCCGTGCCTGACCTACGAGGAGATTCCGCCCGGCTGCGAGGTGGTCCCCTGGAGCGAGTGGTCGCCCTGCTCGGTCTCCTGCGGCGGGCCCGGCGAGCGGGTGCGCGTGCGAACGTTCATGCGCGAGCCCGACTCTCCGGATCGCTGCGCGGGCGTCAAGCGGCGGGATACGGTGACCTGTCTGCCGCCGCGCAGCGACTGCCGCCTGGCGCGCAGCGAGGCGATCGCCGTGTGCAAGGAGCCGCTGGACGTGGGCAGCTGCCGCCTGAACCTGGAGCGCTGGTACTACTCGGAACAGGACGGCCACTGCGTGCGCTTCCTCTACGGCGGCTGCCGGGGCAACCGGAACAACTTTGAGACCGCCAAGGAGTGCGAGGAGACCTGCGAGAGCCTGTCGGGCCTGTCGGGCCGCTCGCGCTCCTACGGTAGTGAGCTGGGTACCTCGTACATGGGTCCGGCCGGCGGTAGCGACTCAAGCATGTACGGTATGCCGCAGTATACGCCAAACGGTGGCTTCGACTCGGAGCTGAGTCGCCACTCGGAGTTGTTCAGCTCGTCACAAGTTATCAACCCTCTGCTGGATCGCGGTGTACGCAGCCACTCGCACCACTGTGCCGTGGAGCCGTGGGGCGCCTGGAGTCCGTGCTCGGCCTCGTGTGGCAGAGGTACTCAAGTGCGTCGGCGCCGGCCGCGCTACCCGGGGCGAGCCGGCTCAGCGGGCTGCGGCCGGCGCCGGCTGGAGCGACACAGGCACTGCCGCCACCTGCCGCCCTGCTGAGGGGGTTCTAGCAACCCTGCTGAGGATAGTGGCCATCCGTGCTGAGGGACCGGTTCCCTGCCGAAGGTCGGTCATCCCGGCTGAGGGCTTTGTTAGTGGTTACCCCTGCAGTGACCCTAAGTGGTTGGCGGTGACTTGGACCCGTGGCTGGAGGGGACAACGAATGCCCTCGAGCGGCTGGGATGTCTCAGTCGAGAAGTTTATCGGACGGTGTTTGCTTTCATTGGTCAGTGACGTGCGGTGCGCAATGGCGCTCTGGTTAAGTGTTCCCATTGATACATGTCTGGTGAGATGAGAGGCGAGAGCTGAGATCACCGCTTACCGAGAAGGAGGAAGCACGCGACATTGTCAGAGATTGTGACGGAGTGGCCCACGGCAGTAGGTTTATGACATCCCTGCCGTTTTCTGGCTGGGTCGCCGTTGTTTATTTGATCGAGGTCGACTCGCTCGCTGCACCAGACTATGGGTCGCTGGTGTAGCATAGAGTTGTACTTGTCACGGACGCTTCTGGTGCTCGGTACGTGCGGTTCTGGAGCTCGTCACTGTTCTAGTCGAGTAGTGTTACGTAATATTGCTGTTAGCGGCTGGGCAGCTGTGCCCCTCGGCATCGCGCAGCCCAGGTTGGGCTGCTCTGCAGTTAGGTCGAGCTGCACGACCCCCAGTGCGGAGGTGTTCTGTTGGTTATAAATTATAGCCCCTCGAGGGTAGACCGTCAGTATTTGGAGCTGTTTGTTGGATAAAGCTCCGTCGGCTTCCCCTGTGGATTTCTAGATCTGCCAGGTGGATGAAAATACTGACCGTACTTGAGGAATGTTTTATCATTCTAAGTGGAGACGCTAGTTTCCATTTCTTTTCTCTCAAGTCAGTTTATTGTGATCAGATGTGTGAATCTCATCCAATAAATGGTCGAAAGCTTTTGAATAAATTGCATTTGACTTTCTGGATTATCCCATTTATCCTCATAACTCATATATGCCCGATCAATATTGATGTTGACACGGCGATGGGTATAGGGTTCTCGCTGGCGGCGACTGCGGCGGACCAAAAGCGATTGACTCGCTGAGTAAACGTCTCCCCATGTGTGCTCGAGCTGCTCGGTTACCGGCTCACCCCGCTCCCTTCCTCTTTCCCTCTGTCTTTCCCACTCCTCCTCCTCGTCCCCTCTTTCCCTCCTCGCTATCAATGATGATGCGGGCTGCCTCCCTTCCATCCGGTCAGGCGGCAGATAGTTATCAGCCATCCATGCTTGGATCAAATCAGACATGAGTGATCCTCGATAGCGATTCCGGTCCGCTGCGCGGTTTCACTGGCCCGTTGACCAGCGGGCCCCATCACTCACGGTCGTGGCGGCCTGTCAGCGTGCACGGTGCACTATATTCTGTGCACCGTACACGGGACGGAGATTGGCGTGCGCTGCACTCGAGCGCTCTCCAGGGGTTGCCCTCGGGGTAGAGTACGGCGGCTGCCGGAAATGAAGGCTTACAGGCCCGGAGAAAGTGGTGGCTGTCTGTGCCCAGAGTGTTTCTTAGTTATAATACTCTTCACTGGCCTCTCAGAGAGCGCTCGCTGACCGCTAACTGACCGCTCACCGGCCTCTTTACCGAACGCTCACAGGCCGCTCACTGACAGCTCACTGATAGCTCACCGACTACTTACCGGCCTCACACTATCTGCTCACCTTTCGGTCGGGGTTTTCCTTGCAAACCCACCCACAGCGTCAGATGGCTGGCCGCGCTCCAGCTATCTTCTCTCCCCGGACTGGCCGTCCGCCGGATCCTCCCGCTCCCATGCCCCTCCTCGAGGGATTGCGGCGCCGCTCTGTTTGTTTTCCGATGCGCCTCCGGACCATTGGTCATCGGCTAATAGATTGCGCCGCAGGCGCGTCAACAGGACGTGCTCGGCTGACGCGGGTGGACGCCGGATGCCGCGCACGGTCCGGCCCTGTCCGGCGCTGTCCGATACTGTCTGTACGACTGTCCGGCACCATCTCATTGCTATATCAGGCCCTGTCCGGGACTTTTTGACTCTGCAACGCCGCCCTCTCCGGCGCTGTCCAATATTGTTCGAGCTGAGACTGTCCTTCCCAACCTAACTATGTATTTGGTTAGGTTGAGTCGTCTGGTAATCTGGCTAGCCTAACCATTGTCCGGCCTAAACCGTGGTATTACTGATGAATGATGATCGATCAGTGAATCACCATAAATCAGTTTTTGAAATTGGAATATCGTCGGTGCATGTTGCAATGCACAATGCACATTGACAATGTGTGTCGTATTGAAGCTATTGGGCGTTTTCACCGGTCCATATTTATGCTTTTACAGATCTGTTTCCGGGTTTAGAGATGTAAAGCCTCAGTAGATCAATGACCAGCCTATATCCCGGCTGCCTCATCTTCATCTCAAATCCTGTTGGAGTACTGCAACTTTCAATTTCACTTGACCTGCATAATCTAATCACTCTCCAATTCTAATAACGTAAGAAGAGTGGAGTAGCACCACCTACTCCCAATAATAACATTTTGCGCCGTTTCTGTGCAATATGATGCCATACAGCGCCTTAATTTCCATAATCCTGGCGTTCTCTAATGCTGTGAGAGAGTGCCTCTGACACTATATTGGCGTCGCTGATATTATCTATGGCTGTACCGCCGCCGGCGTTATTGGACGGAGCGTGTCGTCATCGACAGGTGATGGCTATGAGGTCCGTCCGACAGGAGCATTGATGCTACGAGCAAAGAGCAGAAACTCATTCACTGGCAGATGCCTTGTTTTGAGATCATATTGAAGCATATTGAGACGTGTGACTGGCAATTGAAGTGTGTAGCTACGGACAGATAACAAAATATAAAAATTGTTTCGTCGTAAATTATGGCATTGACAATTCGCTGACACGCTGAAACAACTCTACGAGGACGAAATTAAACCGAGCTGCAATGTTCACTGAAGTCATCAACCCTAGCTGTAGATAATCGCTACTCACCATCGGGAAGCAGAGCAGCAGACAATGCAACGCTGTCATCCCAGTCGCCTTGGAGGGATCCTTCGGCAGAGCAGAGCAGCTGGTGAACGGGTGGGGCGGTGGGCACTGGTCGACTATCTGCACAACTATGGCAAAACCAACGCCGTCGATAGGGCCGGTGGTAAACCAACGACAGTTTTATGACTAGTTGGGTCCAAGACTGACGGCTTTACGGAATGACTGCCGACTACTGACTGACTAGAATTAGTGTCTTCCTGTGTGTCCGATCGCTAGCCTCCACTGAGGACCACTGACCGAAGTGAGGCGCCGCCGGTCAGTCCGCCGCTCCGCCTTTCTCCCTGCCCCCAGGGCCGATCAACCTCCCCCGCCCATCCCCACCTGAGCCACTGCCATCCCCACCTGAGCCACTGCCCATCCCCACCTGAGTTAACATGCCATCGTCGTTACCTTAGAAAGGGACAGTGCGTGTATTTGCGTGCCTAATGCGCACCTTTTTATCAAAGCATAGTCCGTGAGTTGACAACGGTTTGGTAGCGATTCGCATGCATACAGATCAGGGGATCGGTGCTTCTGCGTTTGATTTCACTTTTGATTTCATAACTGACTTTGCTAAAGCGAACTTCACGTTCTTCGCCGAGTGCTAGTACCTGATGCTAGGTGAAACACGCAATGAGAGACACACTGCGCAATAGCATGGCAGTTAGCATTTAGCATTTTAAGCAGTTTGCGCCTAGCCATCACCACGTCTGTCGCTAATATGCATTCTGTTCTGTCAGCTATATAGTTATGTCCCCGTCCTATGTACCGTATATCTCAGCTTCTCCCGCACCATGCATCTCCGCGGTAGTCCGCTGCCAGCTCAGCCGTCCGTAGCCGTTCTCTCTGTTTCCTCAGCGGTCCGGCTCTGATAAACTATAACCGTTCTATGTCGCTGCTCCTCCAGCGGTCCGGCGCCTCCGGCCGGCACCGTCAGCCACCTGTAACCGTTGTGCCCTCTCTGTCCCCCTCAGCGGTCCGACGCCCCCGGCCGGCACCGTCAGTCACCTGCTCACAGTCAACGACATGTCGACGGGCCGGCAGTTCAGCATGCCCGCCTCGGCGACCACCACCGTCGGCCAGATTAAGACGGACGTGGCGGCGCTGACCGAGTGGCCGGTCAGCCAGCAGAGCTGGACCGGCTGGCCAGAGTACGCCACGGACGCGGTGAGTGGGGATGGACACAATGGGCGTGGGGCCTCTGCAATGACCCCGTGTAAGGTGGCCGCTGAATTTCGTTCTGCTCAATATTAAAGCTTTCGTGTTAATTCTTTCCCTTGGAATGGCGCAAACATTATTCTCAACTTTCCCAGCCTCTCCTTATTTTGACAAGCCAATTCAGCTTGTAGCACCACGGATGAAATGGCTCTCTGTTTTCGATGAGACGGTCCATGTTTATATTGCAATACACTTTCCCGTTATGTTCACAGCCGCGAATGGGGTGATAAGCTGTGTGAAACGATCTTATCCACCGCCCGGCTGCGGAATCGGAGGCTGTTATGTGTTATTACCATTCGTGACGTGTTTTCAAACGACCACTGATGGCAGTTTCATTTATTTCTAGGGCCCATGTTGTCAGAGATATAATTTCCATCCGCTCGAGGCGGGATTTTGTCTCACGGATGCCCGTGTTAGGGAATTTAAAGCTGAAAATATTGGCACACAGTTGTGTACCTGCTACGTTCAATTGCACTGTACAGATGTGATGTTGTGCAGCTAAATTCTTCCATTCTAGGAGATCTTGTTGTAGCAGGATTTGGTAAATTCGGTTTTGCTGCCTGACCTTGGTTAAATTACAAAAAAAACATGCATTTAGAAGATAGTTTTTCCCACATAATATTACGTTTTCTAGCTATCGATAGTTTTGATATAGGTACCTACCTATTCACTATCCAGTATTGGCATGAGTCAAAATTCTTCACCCCTAGGCGCCTCAACAGGAAGAGCCACATCAGTCAAGAATGAGACCAATGTTTATTTTGGCGATACTGAGGCGTAGGGCGTCATTTCCTGGAATCCGTACAGCTGACATCAACTGTCTGTTCCTCGGCCAGATCTTGAAATCTGAGCCCGTGCCATCCTGTGAACGTGACTTAAGACCATTAGTGATAATGGCGACGCGACGAGACTCATGTTACAGCGTTCTTTGGAGTCGGCGGTGCTTTTGACAAAGGCACACAGTTACGACTCACGGGTTTTAGCCATTGAAGAAAGCGACCCCGTGCGAATACGCATTACTCAGACCGTATCAAGTTTGTGCTTCCATTCTAGCTGACATCACCATTGTGGCTCAGGCGCTGTTTAGGTATAAGTAGATCCTTCCATTGGCGATGTCGTGCGGTCGCTCGTTTGTCCACCGGTCAGCTCGGTGGTTTTCCAGCACATTAGCCGATGGAAGTCAGTGATTCCTCTGAGCGACCATCCCATTACGGCAACATCGGCGGCGCATGGGCCACCGATGGTCCCAGGCACGGAACATGAGGCGTTCTGCCGCGAGTGGGCCGTGGGAGGGGGACGCAGAGGGCGGTATGGACGGGGCTGGGTCACGGCCATCACAGTGGTATCAAGCGCACCACCGCCTCTGGGCTATGACAATGGGGCGCAAAGGACGGGATGAGCGTCACTAGTTGACGGGATCGTTATCGTGGTCTGTTTTACACGGGCGTCTAAGCTGTATCTGCGCTCTCTTGTGTTGTGACCGGAGTTTGTAGCCATCGCTCCAGTAATTCTGACGAATTAAAAGAAAAATATGTTCGGTTGAGTCGGCTCATTGCGTCGAGCTGCTTCACATCACTGGATTTCGTGAGACGGAGGCATCATTTCCCGAGCACTGTTGACGCCAGCTGTCTGTTTTTTTCTCTCTCTCTCTCTCTGCCAGATGCAAAAATCTGAGTCCCACTGGTAAAATGTTCATGTGACTAGTATGCCTTCAAGTTCAGTGGGCCGTATGGCTCGTATTACTGCGTTCTTAGGAGTTGATTGTGTTTCCACGAATAACACGGTGACTCGATTCTGAGTAGAGGACCATTGAATACATCCGGCCTCCGCAGCATGGTACGAGTAGGTACCCCGTATGTGCGCTGTATACCAACGGTGGCGTATGTGTTTTCTGCCGCTCATGACCGCCAGTGCTCCTACTCCCACCCAACTCGCCGCCAGTCGCCAATCGCGGTCTGTCCCGACTCTGCCGTCCGTGGCTCTCTTTCCGTCGCCTCCGGGCGCCGGCGGACAAGGGACAGACACTGATTATCACCCGCAGCACGCGGCCTATCTCGGCCCGGCATCGGCCCGCTGCAGCCACCAGCCAGTAGCCGCCGCTAACCTTTTACCATCCGTCGACATTTCTCGATCTGCGCAGGGATTAGGTTATCGAGCAATGACGGCGACTGTTGGCTCGTGGTTTGCAAATTTCTGTTAACGGTGTGCTGAATGGACTGGCATTGATTATTTGTTTATCCCATAAAAGCGCTCGGGTGTTTTTTTTTTGTCCTCATTCATATGCAATAGTTTTGTATTCCTTAAATGAAGAAGTTGGGACCGTTCAAGCTGCGCTGTTTCTGTGCAGATCATATGAGAAATGACGTATATCGCAGCGGACAAGGATCCGAGACCACCACGAGCGTGACACGTCCCTCGCCCTGTTTCAGAGCACACTGGCCGACACAGGGATCGGGACGACACACACGCTGTCAGTGACACGACTACCCCCGCCCGGGTCAGCAGCAACAGCGTCATCGGTAAGGAACGACTGGGTGATGGAAGAGTCAGTGCTGGGGGCTCGGTCTAGGGAGTGAGATGGCACTGAACTGAGAGTGAGATTATGCACTATGCAGTCTACCTTTAGATGAAGTGACTTGTTTTCAGCAGTTCTTAGTTTGGCGTAGATAGCAGAAAATGGCAGCATCATGCAGCATTACGACAACTTCTGTTTTTTTCCCTTCTGTCGTTTGCCGTCGTAGTTCGTCCGCCGCTCGGTTAGCCCGACGCCGTCCGTTGTTGGTTTTAACCAGCGCCGTCTGCTCGCTTCTCACGGAATTCGGAGAGAGCTGCAATAACATTCACAAATGGAGCCCTTTGAAACTCATTCGTTCACTGCAAAATAGGATTTGTCTAGGATTTCGTTTAGCTGTTTCCATTCTGCCCCAGCCCACTTCAGTTTGAGTTTGATTGGACCATCGCCATGTCTGAAGTGAAAATATGTGTGCATGTCGCCGATGGTAAGCTGAGCGTTTTCTTTTAACTTTAGATAGTGGTTATTAGGAGTAATCTGTCGCTGAAGTACGGCTAGTGCTTTATGTCAACCGTTGCAAACAATTTTAAGTCCGGTTGTTAAATGTACGATCACGTCAGTTGCTAAGATTGATGCACAACTCGGCGATTTGCGCCCAATGAATTGAGAATATGCCCGCACCATTGTTATGGCATCCCTGTGAACTCCGTGCCCATAGCGATCCCATGCTTTTCCGATCGCGATGTGTAATGTATGTGTCGAGAGTGTGTGATTCCGTTTGGTGGACGGTCTGTGAGCCCGTTCCTGTTTGGTCTGTCAGTCTGGTACCGTTTGGTCTGTCAGTCCGGTACCGTTTGTCCCGTCAGTCCGGTCCCGTTTGGTCCGTCAGGCCCGGTCTCGTGCGGTGGACTGCGGCGCGGGGCTTCAATCGATCTGCCGTAACCGGAGACACGTTGGGCCGCAGCCGCTCCCGCGCGGAGAGGTGCACACGACCGCATAGTCACACGCAGGGCCCACCAAACACTACCACACACTGCCGATCTAAACAAATACGCGGTCACAAGGACACTGAGAGCTTGACCCATTGTCACCAAGCATAAATACGGCCGGACCCCCGAATGCCGTCAAACAAACAATTGTAGAACCCTAGTGCCGCCGCGCACAAATGCCGTCAAATCTAAGAGAGAACCTTTGATTGCTAATATTTTAACTGCTGTCAAACTACCTCTCAACCTTATACCGTGTTTTTTTTTACACGTTGTTACCGTTGTGTTGGATGACATCCATTGGGTGGATTTCTCTGCATTTTTACGACTATGTAGGTAATTTCAGTTTTTTTTTTGTCCCGACATTTGTTATCCTTACAGTTGTTACATCTTTTGTTGGGCCGAGTACGGCTTTGAGTAGCTTTGTGCTACACCGAATCACGACCGATTACCATCAACCGGCTGCTGTCTGTGCCGTTTACTCCCACTTGCCTAACGCCGTGTGACGGCCGCTGGTGCTCGAGGGGCTGGTTTGACGGTCTGTG